GTGGCGGTAGGGTCAGAAAGTGATATTTACAGCGCTTCACCAGAACCCATGAAAGCCAAAAATATTGAGGTTGAAGAACTATGCGAGGCAGAACGCCATGATACTCCTTCTTACATTAGAGGAGGTTTGCCTTTATGGGACGTTGTTGTAAATGATCCACATAGAGTTATTCACGCCATCAAGCACATGATGCATGGCATTGTTGTCATGAGCAAAGCAAAGGGTGCACCACCCCAAGAAATCAAAGAAATTGTGGATAGTCATCTAAGCACTTTGAGGCAGATTGAGATTCTAACAGAGAAGGAAAGGGTTGCCAGATTAGCGTGTGAGATGAGGCAAACAGCAGACAGAGGGGCACAATTGGCTCCTGAAAATAAATGTTCTGTCACTGCCAAAGAGATGGAACCTTTGAAGTCGGCTACCAAGTTCAATCCTGACGCGGTAAGTTTTGATGCTAAAGTCTGCCAAGAAGAAAAATTGCTAATTGTGTTCTGTAGAAACCTTTTGCTCCTTCAAAATCTGTGGCTTCAGATCTTAGGTCTCCCGTACCTCCTTTTACATTAGCACCTGCTTCACAAAACCCACCTCGATTGAAGTATTCAGTTATTCAACAACCAGGTTTTATGGTAGAACAAAGCCGTGCCCCACCTACACAGGTCAAATTTTACCCAATGCTCAACAGATCGAGAACTTGGTCTACATATCGCCCTGCGAATACTTCGATTGGTCCTTACAGTCATTTTGACGCATACAACCAGAAGCCGCCGACGCCAATATTCCTTCAGCACGCACCGTCGCCCTACTTCATGGCTTCACCTCAACTTTCATCGAATTCTCTAATTTATTCAGATATTCAACAGGAAGATATCATCCAGGATCCTCCCCATTCGCCAACTCCAGCGGAAGATCAAGATGAAACTGGTGGAAATGATGATGTTTTGTTGGCAGATAGACAGCTCTTGCGAATACCTGTTCCAGGAAAGAAAGATCATAAGTCTACTCCTACCTCACCGACTGAACAATTATCTGCAAACACCACACTCAAAGCTACAAGCACAAACACCAGTCCTCGGAGAAGGGTCTTCAATGTTCATGCAAGCTGTCAACAACAACAGCCCTACTCACAGAAGCTATCGTTGAAGAACTTTATCCCTGCGACAGCCACCGCAGATGACATTAAGAGAGTTGGATTGCTCCTTCCGCGAACACACCGCCATATATGTCCTTCTTCTTTGACTTCTCCCGACTTTCAGTGCCCAATGCCAAATTGTATGCTCCAGCGAATCTGCCCAGATTTCACAAGTGATAATGGCTGCTCATTTCGACCACCTCCTCTGAGCGACTGGCCCTGGAACTACCCGCCCAGAGAACCCCCGATCAATCAATCCCAACAATGTCCATACGTACATATTCAAGGTACCTGTCTCCATTCCCTCTCTTTTTTCCGTATCCAATCGGAATCCGAGCCTGCACCCTACCCTGCAGTATCAAACCACTATTGTCCCGTCCCCAAGTGCACCACAACCCGCTTTCACTCTTGGGGGTGCGCCAAAGATTGGAAAACAGGATTTGCAGTTAATGGCATCACACCTTGTGCTCCAATCCAGAATCAATTTTCCCTTGCAGAAATCAACACGGAATGGCGATGGAGAGTTTTGATGGAAGGTCTACGATTTGCGCACGAGAGAGGAGAATATGGATGTCAGGGTGGAACTATACCGCTCAATGCGTCGTTTCCCGATGGCCATAAAGGTGCAGATTTGAGTAATTGGGCGCCGGATATTCCTACTGAGAAGCCCAAGGTGGACTATAAGAATACGCATATGGGAGAGAAGGAGAGAGGACGCTTGAGAGGTAATGGAAGAATGGGGGGAAGTAGAGGACGTGGCGACAGAGGCGGTTCTTCCGATACGAGACGAGAGTTTGCGAGGGAGAAATCGACGAGATCGGCTTGAATATTGCGGGGCTTATTAATTTTATAATGATCCGCATAAAGGAACTTTCTGGACTAAGGATGATAATTTTTCGATCTTGGGTGTTATATTCTAGGAAGGACAGGAAATCATGACATGGGGAGTTGGATGAGGATACCGTTTGATATGGTTTTGTAAAGATACCCCGGGCGTGCGACTTTGCGTTTTGCTTATGTTTTTTTTTTCTTTCTCTCTTCTTCTTTTCTACTTTACCGGTTTTCTCTTTAGCTCTTCTTGTATCTAAGACATCAGACAGATCAGTTGATACTTCGAAATTTCTTTTGTGGTTGTAGAATATAATGAATGGAATACATGTTACAGAAAAAAAAAAGAAAAAAAAAGAAGACCCTTCGAAATCTTGAATATTCATCCATCATTTCTATCTACAAATAAATGACTCTCTAAATCTATAACCTCCGCAATCCTCTCACCTCATCCATCAAATCAATCACATCCACCATATCCCTACACTCCATCAACCTCATCCTCTCCTCTTTCCCCAACAACCCATTATTCCCCCCATTCTGCGAACGATCGGTGCCGCACATTTCGCTCAAATGATGGACCACGAGTTTAAACGGTATAGGTTGTCTGAGCACCTGATTCATAAAGACATCGACGCATTCCCAGGGGGTTGACGTGTAGCCTGCGAAGAGGGCGGGATTCTCGAGAAGGCCGCGGGCGGACATGACACCATCGACACCGGTGTGCGCGGTATGATGGAAGGCGTCGGAGAGGGTGAAGATGTCGCCGTTGGAGAGGGTAGGTACTGTGGTATGGGATGTGAGGAGTTTGATGGCGTCGAGATTTACGGGGTGTGAGGAGGGGGTTGAGCGCATGCGGCCGTGGATGGTGATGAAGTCTACGCCGGCGTCTTGGACGGTTTTGATGAAATCGATTGTTTCGCTGGCAGTGGTGTTAGCTATGTATGATTTCCCTCTTCCTTTCCTCTTTCTTTGGGAAATAGAAATGTGTACCGTAAATCCCGATGAATCCTAATCTTGACACTGACTGTTTTCTTTCCCTCATACCCATCTCTCTTCAATGCACTTTTTGCTTCCTTGACCATTTCCGCGACGAGTTCTCGCTTGTGCATTAATGCGGCGCCGATGGAGCAGGCGCAAGCCCATGATTGTGGACATCCGCAGTTTATGTCTACGCCGTTTACGTAGGGGGCGAGGAGGGTGGTGGAGCGGGAGATTTCGAGGGGGGAACAGACGCCGAATTGGGCAATGGTGGGGCCGGAAGTGGGGGATGTTGTGAAATCTAGGGGTTGAAGTTAGTATATGGGACACAGTGGCAAAGAGGCTGGCTGTGAGAAGGAGTTTGAGAATGGTTGTCGGGAGTTGTGTGTCCAAATTGAGCTGGAGCTGGATGCAACCTTGCTGCTGGAGGATATGCAGTATGCATTTACGCACATCTCGATGAGATTTTCTGTAAAATTGAACTCTTGTAGCCTCTCTGCACTTTATTGCAATGCATGCTAACAACAGAAGTTCCATATGATATCGCGAATATGAACAAAGACTTCTCTGTTGCCGCTGATTGATCCTCACCAACCTCGACCCAAACACGATCAAATGAACAGATCTATACTCCTTCACGTAGCAACAAATCCTCACCCCCGAATCACAAGCCACTCGACTCTACCCCCAACCCAACTCTCGACTCTCAACTCTCAACTCCCACACAATAAAAACCACGTGCTCACCCGAATCACGTGCAAAAACACTGCGATTAAATTCTTTTGCCAAAATCTGCTCTCATCTCATCTCAGCCCAGCACATGTCCGTCACAACCCACACGCATTCCCCAATGCCGCAGACGAAATACAACATACCATCGGGGTCCAACAAAGATCCACTCCATACTGCGCGACCGTTTCGCGAAAAGCTAGCTATGTCTCATTAGTCGGGATGCGGACACGGAAACGAGAACTCTTACTTTACTATAGCGCACCATGGGCGCACAGGTATAGAGAGGTCGGCTTTCTTTCTGCGCGATGGAGAAGAGAGTGAGGGGGCTGGGAGGGGAGGGTTAGTTGGTGTTTTTCCATGAGGGGGATTTGAGGGATGGGTGTGTGGGTGATGCACTTTATTTCTAAGGCGGGGTTGGTTGGGGCAATGCCATTGTGCGAGGTGGTACTTGTCATCTCTTTCTTTACAATGTTTTTAGATGATTGGGCATTTTATTTTGTAAAGAATATAGGGAGAATATATCACGTTTTGGTATCATGGATTCTTTGGTGTGGAATCGCGAGGGAATGTGAGGTGGTGGCGATTTAGTGCGTTCGGTAAAAATTTCTAGGGTGTTTTTGGGCTTGGGATTTGGCGATGGTGGTTTGGAGAGGATATTAATTTGGTATATATCTTATCAACTACTTCAAGTATCAAATCATTTCAATCACACATTTTCACGGCGAATTGCACAGTTGGATTTTTTGAGTAGTGTGATAGCTGTATTTGAGTCACCTAAGATATCATCTGGATCATCAGGTTCTTCCCTATGATGGGTTTGTTGATCTCACGATCCAGTCAAGATTCGTATTGTTCGTCGGGTGTCAAAGTTGATCATCCAAAGGAATGAAATAGGAAGTATATCGATAGCTTTCGGTACTTAGGTAATGCTGGAGTTCTATCTCTCATTGATGTGATCAATGTCACCATTGTGATATTACAAACATAGTCACTTCCATATTGAACCGAGTCTTCATGTTCTGTGCTTTTGATAGTATTATCATTATCCCAATTAATCCGCATGCTACGCTAGATACCCATTGTCCATCGAAATCACATTGATCTTGCTTCCCACCGGAATATCATCATGTCTCATTAGTGCGCGATTTGCGACTGTTAATACGGAACCGTGAAAAGATTCGTCCAGGCATGTCTCTACTTCTGAACCTCATTGGTGTTACAAGCCTCGGCATTGCTTGTCCAGCCGTCTGCAGGATTTCCCCGTATTGTGGCAACATGATGCCTCGTCCCTCTGCATGAACTTTGAAACGGGCAACTAGAAATTTATAGGCTAACGTGGACTCCTTCGATGAATCTCGTACTTCTGGTTGACAAAAAGTACTACACGGCAATATCTTTCTAACCCCAAAAAATCCATTATCGAAATTCTTCTGTACAGAACTGTAGAAGATTAGTTCTTCTACCGGACATCCCCAAGGATAGACGCTCTCGAAAAAGGATTCAATTTTATCCGGATCACTTCCCGTATCGACCGCCAAAAACTTCACGCGATTCTCGATGAGTTTCTGGGCAAGATCGTATGCAGAACTCCGGTCATCATCGTGGAGTTTCCTGAAGTTATGTACCTTTCCAACCGCATTATCAGAGATACGCAAACTATGGGTCCAAAATTTGCCCACATCGCATATGACGATCCTATCAACTTTCCAGTTTATGTACGTTCTGGCCGGATGCTCAGGTTTTTCAACCAACCGCTTTTTCCCCTTCGAAATTTCCGGAACCCACTCCAACAGCTTGTAATACTTCAATCCTTCGGTACGAGCTTCCGTGCAAGTCTGAAGGACCGCCGGTACAGCGCTTGTGCACATATATCCGAAGTGTTCGCTCCATCTTGAGTGGCCTTCTTGGTTTTCCGATGGCTGATGTTTCCCAATGAAGATATTTCTGGGGTTGTTGAAGATCTCCAGCTCCCAGATCTTCGATCGAAGTTCTGGGAGAAGCTTTGGAAATAACGTGAACGTGGTAAGAGATGTCGAGTTTCGTAGCTGTCTTGTTACAGATTTCTCCGATTCGGCCATTTTTGTCGTTTAAGAAATGCAATAAGTGCTGAAAGATAGAGTGTGTCGTTGGTATTTTGATGCTCGCAATGCAATAAGTAAAGTTATGTTTATTTATCGGTCGACGCGTATCGTAGTAGAAGCCACTGCGAATACTAATGAAGTTTTGTTTGTGGACGAACTCATGATGCTCGACCAAAAATCAATATTTATAGTGATTCGGACGACAAGAAGATATCAAAGGGAAAGAAGAGAGCAGTAAAGAAGAGAGCAGGAAAGAAGAGGGAGGAGGAAGCAGGAACCAAGCAAACCCACTAGCATGTCGACGGTCGCAAAGTCTTGAGGGCTTTAGTCCTGATTATACCTACCCATCCTATTTTCACAGACAACGCTGCCTCAGAAGTGTCCTTGAAAGTCGCCCGATTGAAAAATCAGAAAAGGAAGGAAATGCTCATAAACACACCACTTCATACTCTAGGAGGACAAAAAAGACACAGAATAAACAGTATAGAATTCCTAAATAACCTTAATATCAAGTTGCACTGTTGAATAGTTTGTAATATATGACTTTATCTCGCTTCTCCTATAACACAGATTATTTTGAGATTGATATGTGATAGTAATAGTACGACATCAATTTCCAAAATATTCAAAATGCATCCAGGAAATGTATGTAAGTTGAATGAGAGAATTATGTGATCAATATGATGGATGGTGAGACCCTTTGTATTTATGTGTAGTGCGTTTTATAAAGCATCACTTGGAATGATTGCTATGTCGAGTTTGGATTCCGAGATTAGCTAAAAGTTTCCCAACTCTCTATATTCGTGCATCAGATGAGGGTGTATCTGCCACGTGACTTCACGGGATGATCAATATTACTCTCGTGTTCAAGAACGATCGAACTTGGGCATTGAATATTGATCGCATTTTCCCCAGTATCCTCTTCAAGAGTATACTTGAATGCGGCCTAGGACCCAAGATAGATCAAGACACATTGTCGGCACGTGACACGAGGTGCTCCAGCTCCGAATCCAATATTGCGTTCTTCTCCTTGAGCTGAACGATTGGTGTTTTCAGGGCTGATAATGAGTTATATTCGGCTCAATCCTCTTACGCCAGCCTTACACCCGAAAACGCATTATCAATAAATACGTGCAGGCCGTGATTCGGGATCTATGCCGGGAGTAAAAATATGAAACTTTAATGATCGGAGAGATTGCCAGTTTGATCTTCAATTCTCCTGTTGTGCAAGCTGGGGTGCTAACTCATGCCGTCTAAACTCTCTGCATAATTGGCAGAACTTTAGCCAAAGAATGTGATGCTTTGGCATGTGTTGACACCGCACACCCGCTGCAACACAGCAGCTCACAGTAGCAGATCTTGTTTTTCATTGGAGTGATTGATGGGCTCCATCTAGCGAAACTCAATGTTTCTTGGGGTCGCCGTGGCTCACATGAGAATTCTTCTCCAATAAATTGAGAGATGTCTTCCACACTGTCGGGGTCCTTTAATTTGTGAGACATGATTCCTCATCAGGTGAATCCAGCTCCAATATAGATGATGTGAGAGATGGAGCACGCGGGTCTTTAGATGATGTCGATGTTGTGACTACTGATGTAATTGAGGAAAAGTATATAAGAAGCAGCGGAGAGACACGATGATGCTCTTATTTACTTTGAGTTCCTGCTGTTATGGGGTAGATTTAGATCCCCGGGTTTTATATTACTTCATTGTTGAACAGGCCAATATATGGTCCCTTGCCTATCGATGAATTGGTGATATTGAGACATTTGCAAGGTCTTCAGGAGGGAGGTCCACCGTCCATACATGCACCTACGTCTGCGTTCCCCACCACGTGCCCACCTACTGGAGCCTGTAAATTAAACGAAGATAACGAGTTGATTCATCTATTCGTTCATTGTTTGATGAAGATGGATCCCAATCCGAGGTATGAAAGCCAAAAGATCCCATTCAGTTGCTCTCTTTTTCTTTACACTTTGGCTAGATGGAAGATTCAATCTCTCAATTCCTTCCATCTCGAGTCTACTGTTTCTCCTATTTCGCGAAGGCTCCAACTTCGGGTTGCACTGTTCATTTCACTCCCGCCGCAAGTTCCGAACTCAAAGGGCAACGAATTCGAAACAGTTGGAACTCGGAGTAGCACCTGGAAGTTGGTGGACGAATTGAACAGTACAGCAAGATCAAGATGATATGTAATCGGGCCTCATAGGCTATAGCACTCACTGTTCCGTGTTCCCATTCAGATCCCACAGAAACATCCATTGAGGTTCAAGATGCTTTTATCACAGATCGATAGTAGCATTTGATCTTGGTATGCTATTTACTTCATCCACCATCCATTGCGTGAGAGGGAAGGAGCCTTGGAGCTCACACTTGGAACTTGGAGGCAATAAAGGCGGCTGTGCCTTAAAATAGTATGATTCCTCTATGCTCTATCAGTGGTTCGTTTGTATCCAATGGGGAATTCTACGTCCGTCCCTCCACTGTTTCTGCGCTTTAGCCATTTTCTGGGATCACCTCCCTGTACATAAACGCTCCACCCTAATCTTATTCTGCATCTTCTACTACCTAGGCGCGCGATCAGTACTCTTTTACGGCGTCGAAATGGGGTAGGGAATACGGAAACGGAAAAGCCTCGAGCACATCAGGGTCGTGTTCTTGGGTTATCATTTGCAACGATATGGCTAGTTATGGCTGACACTACATTTTCTCCTTCAGAACCACGACTTTTTCTTCGTCCTCTTCCTCTTCCTCTTCCTCTTCCTCCCCATCTCACACAACGTACACACATTCATTTAATTGTTTGCGAAAGGATCAAACACCACATTCACTCAGTAGTCTGCGAAAGGATCAGACATCTCACATTAAGGTTAGAAACAACCGAAAGGATCGAGACATCTTAAAGAAGCGGCGAAGATCCAGCCAACACGATACAACCTCAATCTCTTATCCTACATATAATACTCTCAAACTTCCTGAAAACGATCTTATCATTTGGGAAGGAATTACATGGGAAATGCAATCACCACGACGAACCACTCGACCGGCATCGGCAGGAAGTACGAGCACCTTTGATTCAAGACCTCGAAGTCCATTGAGCACCAGTGCCTCAATTGACGATTTGTCCAGCTTGGCCAGTGATATATCGTCGGTGTCGAACAATTACTCAATTAAATCGGCATCAAGAAGTACGATTCAGGTAGGACCCACAAGGTCCCAAACAGATCCAATCTCCAATCGATATGAATTTGAGCCCAGACCACCAGTTCAAACAACCCTCCTCGAGCCTCAACGGTTGATGCAGGAACCTGTATCTTGGACAAATTTTGTCTCGCAGCCATCTTTAGGAGAGGGGTTGCTTAAACTTCCCGAAGAAATACTTTTGGTCATTCTGCGGGAGCTCAAGAAATCACATCTGAAAGCGGGGAGCCTAAGTTGTGCAACATGTTGGATGAGGGATCTGCACAGTCTTGGATTGAGCAACAAGAAATGGTGGAGTGCCGCAAGAGTTTTTCTATATGAAGACATACAGCTTGTTGGAAGTGATTCGAGTTTGCACATGAAGAAAAAATACAAGTCGAAACATGGAATTAGGTTGGGACTCCTTCGTCGAACCCTTCGGAGTCAACCAGAACTCGCCAAATATGTCAAATCATTGAAAGTCCCTTCAATGCCAGACTCGGCCAAAACAAAACAAGACCAGGATGAATACATGGATTTGGTGGCTTCGGTGATAATGGCATGTCCAAACTTAGAACGCGTACCAGGAATCTATCAACCATACGATCATGAATTTACGAAATTCTTTCATGCTCTGGGGACACGATCGAAACTCGTCGAGAAAGTATGGATTATCGAACCAAGTCCAATACGTCGTCTTTACAATGCATCTGACGAAATCGAAAACCCTGTGATTGTACCAGGCCCCTTGCGCTCTGAACAATATCTCGATTTCTTGGGTCTCAATTCGAATTGGCCACATTTGCAAACTCTCGTTCTTCATTGTAGTCCTGGTGGCATGATTGATTCACCTTTATTCACTGAAATATTTGGACGTCTTCCATCGCTTCAGGATTTATATATATCGAACTTCCCACGTACTTCTTTCAATGATGAAAACTTGCTTTCCCTTCCAGCTCTCAAAAAACTTCGACTCGATTCACTTCCAGGCATAACCTCGAATGGATTAGTAGCCTATGCATCATTACCTACTTCAGCTAGTCTTACCTCGCTGTCTTTAATATCATTACCACTCCGATCACTCGCCATCCTCGCTCGATTTTTCACTCACCTGAAGAACCTCAAATCATTCTCCTTATCTCAGGGTCCTTCTCCCATGCTCAATGACCAGAATGATATCTTTTTACACCCTTATCTTGCCTCGTCTACCCTCGAACACCTTCACTGGGAAATCACGAATCCTGATGATGACAAGGCTTCTGAGATCCTTGCTAAATCTATCACTTTCTCCGGATTCCCCAATTTAAAGTCTATCCGTGCCCCAACTGACTTTAATGGTATGCTTCAAAGGCTTTGCAAACCAAGGTCCAGAATTGAATTACCAGGAGACAAGTATCGACACATGGGAGTTGGCAACCCTCAGAGTCGAGCGGCGACTATGCCTGCCGCTATACCTGTAATACCTCCACCTAATCGTCAATCGATATTTTCTCGGCAGAGTGAGCGTCGCGATAGTGTAATGACTGGAAAATCTTCCAATTCCTCCTCGCTATCGCTTGCATATGAAACCCATATAGACGGGAGCGGCAAACATGAGATGATGAGTTTACTGAGTGCTCGACATGCTGCTCAACTCCGGATTGATACTGCTACAACACCACAGTTTGATATAATAATTTGGGACGATGATGGACAATTCCTCGAGAGGTTCAAATTAGGAACTTTTATTGGCAAAGTAGAGAGCAAGATTGTATACAATTTGAAGCCAGATATTGAAGGCAGCGATGAGTCTATCATGAGTGTCGAAGCACTTTTGGAGAAAGGAGTCGAGTCGAAGTCTAGTGATGGTTGTACGGGAAGTTGGAACATAGATCTAGACTCGAAATCAAAGGATAGAAAGAAGAGGGATTGGTGGTGGCATACTGAGAGGGAAAGATGGAGAGAGATAAAATTGGCTACTTTCTTTTAATGTTGATTCTTATGATACCCAGGTTATGGTGTTTATGTCGAAAAGTTTTATGTCTATCATATTTTGGAAGTTGGAAACTTACTATTGGGTTTTTGTATATTGTAAATTTAATATTAATCATTATCCTTCCAATCATTACTTTGATATCTTGTTAGAGTTATCTATTGTACATTTCCTTTGATCTTTCACTTCTCACATCAGGAATGTCTTGAGCTTGTGTTAACGTTAACAGCATTGTAAAATGGACATGAATGACAGTTCTCAACTCTCATCCGAACTACATCCCTTTCTCTCGATATTCACTTTCACAGTTTGGCCCCCTTACCACCTGACCCGAACTTAGCAGCCTGATTTTGAAAGATCTTTCGATTTCTTCTCTTCTGTCTTCTTTCTCGCTTTCCGAATTCCTTTCAATACCTACACAACCCATCGTACCAAAATTCAAATTGTACAGTACAAGACAATCCTTTCGACAATATTAAAGTACTGGCTTCCACCAGTTTGCACTTCTTTCTCTTGCAGCTTTCGATTCAATTTATAAGATAGGAATTGTTACAGATTCATCTTGTCTTGTTCCTTCTTGTTGCATGTCAAGTTGTGGCAATAAATTCTATTTGCACATTTACAAACAAACCCGACCAAACGCAACTCAACCTCGAACAAGAAATCAAAGCCACTCTTTAACAGTCCTATCAATCTATCTCAAACCCTCGATCTATCGATCTATCTACGATCTATACATGTCGGAGCCTCTCCCACCATTCTCCACGACCAAAAAAAAGATGTCTCTCCCACTCCTCCCAAAGCGCGGTCTCAAGCCTCGCGAAATCACCGCTCTCCTCGTCATGGTCGCATCCCAACTGATCATCGGCGTCATGATGCTGCGAATGATGATGGCCAATCAGGGTGTGAACAGCGTTGGGTTTACCGAAGTTCTTCCTACCGTTGAATCCGCATTCCCCGGTGCGCATTGCGAGGCTCAGATGAACGATGCAAAGAATGGAAAGAATGGCATGAACGTTGGTGGAAATATCGCCTGTGGCCACTTTCAAAAAGACGCACTGGTGAAGGATTTCAAGATGGGTCAGGGTATCGCTGCTTCGGAGTATCTGCTCAGAACGAACATCGTCATCGCTAATCGTATGACGTGTCATCGGGCTTTTGTGGCGGAGAAGAAGAGTTCTTTGGTGAAGGGTCTGTGGGATGTCATTGAGGGGATCTACGAACTTGAGGAAATGGCTGCGATTTCCAAGACGGAAGATAGCTCTGCTCGACATTCTGGAACTCAACGCGTTCTGCAAAAGGGAGATGCAGCTGCAGATGGTGTCAAGGAAGATGGGGAGGTCGTCAAATTTGCGCAGAATCCTGCATATCCCACTGCAGAAAATAATCAGTTCCGCGCCGAGGTCTTATATATGGAGGATCAAGCTACCGGGTTCCGCAAGGCGGTGGAGGAGATCATGGAGAAGAATGATGTGGAGGGAGTTTTGAACATGGTTCGGAAGAGTCTGAAGGGTTTTGGAGCGAACGAAAACTTCAAGCAAGGGGAGACGAGCGATGGAAATTCCGAGGAGAAGATCAAGATTGTTCAAAAAAGTAAAGATAAAGTCAATCGCGCATTATCCGGTCTGTGGGAGATTTTTCAAGACATGGATGAAGAGATGAAAGACACGGAGCGCTGGTTGCGAGACACAGAGGCGGCTGTAAAGAGCGTTGTACATGAGTTGAAGACGGAGTGGAAGCTTTAGATGATGTGGGTTTATGGGGTGGTGCCAGCGTCCATGGGACTGTGATCGATTACTTGCAGACAGACATACATGCGTCCGCATACGACTAGATTGGGCTACGATTATTTCATTTTTTTTCTCTTTCGGATTTCGGTTCTGCTTGTTCTTTCGACTTTTCTACTTCTATTGCATCGATCGTTTGCATCTTACGCTGTTGGGAAAGATGTTTTGCAATACGTTACAATACGATACGATACGATACGAATCGATGGGTGGAGGAAAGAAGGAAGAAGAAATGAAAAAGACTTTTGTACAATACCACTCACGAACAACACATGATGATATGAGATGAGAAAAGAAAGAAAAGACTCACTGCGGATTCATCCTACAGGAAGAATCGAGGTGGAGGAAAAGGATTCAGATAGTTTTTGTAGTTGTCTTTGGTACATCTCATTTCTCGTTTCGTACACGAAATAGATACCTAGCTCTTTAGTTTACCAGGAAATCATAAATGATCATTGTATCAAATTCTTAGACGTGATCTATTCCAAGTTTGCATCTGCGTATGTACCTATGCAGACTTCTTTCTTTCTTTCTCTACAACAGTAACCACAAACAATACAATCCAATAAACATTCATATTATCCCCTTCCATCCTCTTTCCCAGACCCCCAAACAACACGATCCATATCCCCAATACCACCACATCACCCCTCATCCAACCCAACCCCCAAATCAACCAATGCAACCCAACCCTCTCCAAGCCCCCAATCTAATTCCCTCCCTTTCCCCCCTGAAAATCCCATGCCTACCGAATAGAACACTCCTCAATCCCCGAATGCAAATAATCAAAACTCTGCACCAAGCCTGCAAAATGCGCCAGCGCCGCAAGTACAACCATACAATGTAGGATTTGATGGCTATTCCCATAGATATCGAAACGGCCGGGGTAGTATTTTTCTGGGATCTATTTATTGTGCGTGGTCAGTTGATGTTTATTTTCTTTCCTCTTTACTCTTTCCTCTTTCTCTACATCTGGAGTGTAGTTTTAACTGCAAACTGACACTTCGAACCTGGGGGATTTCCAAGGTGCCAGTTCCCAGATATGTACGTTTCATAGTCAAGATCTAGCTAGCACAAAGAATCAAATATAAATAAAAATTAGAAAAAAAAAAGAACTCACCCTCAAACTATAAGCCAAGGCCCCCACAAAATTAAGTCCCGCCATCCCCACTATCCAACCCAAACTCAACCGTTTATACTGCAACGCGATGCCATAGAGAACAATCGAATGCACGATGAAGATGACGGCCGAGAGACCCAGGGCCGCATACATGAGGGTGCGATAGGGACGGAAGAAGGGGGTGCGGAAGGGAGGGAGGAGGGTGAAGAGGGTGAGAGCGAGAGAGAGGAGTGTGATCTGGGGGGGAGTTAGCGGGGGAGTGATGAGGAGAAGGAGAAAGAGAGAGGTGAGGAGAAGGGGAGGAAAATGGAAAGGCAAGGAAAGGGAGGAAAATACCATAGACCAGTAGATTCTCTGGAGTTTCACATCACATATAAATCCGTGATAGATGGTCGCAACCGTACTTCCCCACATCAGCGCCACGATACCGAGATAATCGAGTTCGATCCAGAAAGCTGCGGTGTGGTGACTATGGTTATTGAGGGTATGATATCTGCGTGCGAAGAGGATGAATTAGTATTGATTTCATTTATTTTCTTTTCCTTTGATATAAAATGCACACAATCCACCCCCCAAAAAGTGCTAAGAAGACAGTAGGTAGTAATCAAACATAAAAAATACTACACCCAAGAGAAAAGCAGAAACGATCCCACAAAGAGATAATCAATATAAAGAGAGAGTAAAAAAAAAGCAAGAAAAACATACAAAAAGCTCAATCCAAAACACACCGCCACGCCTCCAAAAAACAGCGCAAAAACGACAACATCTGCGATCGCGGCATCGTGGTAGCGAGGGAGTAATGTGTGATATATATAGATGGGTAGAAGTGCAAATAGGACTGCGCCGAGGAGATGGGAATGGATGTTTACTGATGGATTTTCGTGTTAGTTTGAGAGATGGATATGGGAGGAAAAAAGGAAGTGGGGAGGGGGAGGAGGGAAATTACTCGTTTCGTTGTGCAGATGAAATACACTTCTGAAGGATTGCAGGGAGGATTTGGTTTCGGGTCTGTGGAGGGGGAGTCAGTTTGATGAGAGGATAGGATGATGGTTGTGTGTGATATGGATTATTGTGAGGGAAGTGAGAAGGAGAGAAGACGTACCGATATCCAGTGAGAATATATTCGTTATCTTGTCTCCATTCCGCTTTGAAAAATCATTAGTGTGAGTACTTATCAACTCCCACCCACCCCCTTCATTCTCCGCAAGTACATTCGCATCATTGCAATACATCCCCATAGTACCAACCCCAAAGAAGAATATCAGAAGAAGGAAAAAAAGAAAAGAACTCACCAACTTCATCCCACCTCAAAACCTTTCCTATTCTCCCCCCCACCTCCTCTATCCCATTCCCATTCCCATCTCTATTCCCATCTCCATTCCCATATCTCCCCACCTCCCCACCCTCAAGCTCTATATCCTCATCTCTAACCAACACCTCCAACCCCCCCATCGACAAACCCGTCGCATTCCTCTTCAACCCCAACTCCCCATCATCATTCTTCTCACCTCTCTCCTCCCCATCCCCATCCCCATCCCCCGCCTTCCCAATAATCAACACCTTCTCCGGAACTCGCACCTTATCCCCCTCATCCTCCTCCTCTCTCGCCACAATCAACGTCGTAGCCGAAGAAATATGCCTTACATGATGTTGTCTCGCCTTACCCATCTGATGTCCACTCACATTCCCATTTCCATTTCCATTTCCATTTCCATTTCCATTTCCATTTCCATTTCCATTTCCATTTCCATTTCCATTTCCATTTCCATTCCCATTTCCATTTCCATTTCCATTTCCATTCCCATTTCCGCTAGAATAACCATCCACATCCACATTCCCATTCATATTCTTCGCACTCGCACTCGCACCCGCACCCGCACCCTCATCCCCACCCCCATCCACCCTCCTCTCATTCTCATTCTCATTCTCCCAATCCAAGGCAAAAAAAGGATATGCACCTGCGTACCCACACCCATATATTCTTATTCCCTCATCGAGCCCTTCCGAGAAATTCGACATAGCTTTTCAAATTTGGACACTCTCGTTCCCTCTCTTTCCTTTTCCAAGAAAGATATGAATGAAAATAGGAAAATAGAAAGCAGAGAAAGCAAGGAAAAAGAAAGAGAGATAGAAAAAAAGAAAAAGAGACAGAGAGAAAGATTTCAATCCTTCAACTTGACAAAAAATGAAGCACCACCTATTCTCAAAAGATCAATCATCAATTTCTGTTATTCTTTAGGTTTCTAGATTTGATTTTTTTCGAAGCTCCGCGCGGACAAGTGACACGAGGGTAAGCAGGTGGATTTGTGTTCGATAATTGGCAACACGAGGATGAGAATATAGTGTATTTAGATTCTGGACTTCGTCTTGAGACTGATTGTGTATGTAAATGTTGATATCTTTCAACTAAAAATGAATCTCGAAAAGCAAAGAGAAAACAGATAGGTTGGCTCACTGGTTGGTGAAAAGAATAAAATCCCAGGTCGGGACAAGTCAAGTGTGGACCAGAGGTCATTAAGTATAATCATTCCTCTATCTGCTATGGACCTTCTATCCCTCTATCCCAACAGCCCAAGCCTACGAGCACCTTCTTGCTCCGCCAAACCGTATGATGGGCCTCAAAAATCTAAGATAACCATATTGCGGTCCTGCGAAGACATGTAAGCAGGTAGATCCTACCACATTAAAGATTCTTTGAAAATTAAATTCTCATATCAATTTAAGCAACTTGTGCATTAAGCGACAAGAATAATTCTGCCTGCTAAAACTGAGTAGCTGATATCGTGTGTGAAAAGGGGAACGAAAGCATGCTAGAATGTTTGCATGATCGTGATGTATTGCCACGAAGACGATTGTTGGAACTTGCGTAAGATAAAAAGTACATTGTCGAAGACTGATCTGACCAATAGTATAAGAAATGAAACTAACTTTTTGGGGCAAGAGTGGGTGCTCGATAAATCTGCCACCTGTTGGTGTCCCAGACTAGGCGCTTAAAGTAAAAATTGCGATGAAACCATCTATACTCCTGACATCACCTGACTTGATGGGAGCTGTACCTAGTTAAAGATAATCCTTCTTGGGTTGAAGGTTCCAGTATGTGTGTTGGTCATGTCCCCAGTTTGTAACGGAACAGAGAATCTCAAACTAGAGATTAGTATGTCTCCAATTAGCATTTGAAAATTGCGGGGAGGAAATTTTGCTGTCCCTAAATAGTAAGGTCATAGATAGAGCATAATTATTTCAAATTGCAGTATCAACACCCCCATATCGTCGATATGTGGTCTCATATAGTCATGATTGAGGGGCTCCAGCTTATCGTCAGACTATTCAGGAACCAACTGGAGGATCGACAATTGCGCCAGAAATTGGATCGGCAGTCAAGCTAGTGCCTCTTTCCACTCCTCTGGTAAGTAATGCCATGCCTCTGTCGGCAACGCTGACTATATTTTGCAATTCCCTCAATGCCCGTTCATTGTTGTTGGAGAAGACGCCATCAATGGATTTTTTGTAGTTCGATGTTGTGTTGTGATTCTTTTGATATATTTCAGCATCGTAAGTATTCGGGTCAACTTCAGCATAGGTTGACTTTTCATGTGGATTCTCCACTTCAGAAGATGTATTGGATAGCAACTCGAGGGGCAGCGGGGCTTTTGTACCCATGACAGCTTCCACAAACCTTTGATCAAAGGATTGATTGTGTCCAGTAGGGTCGTCAAGATCATAATTGGGATGTTCCGAATCAAGGTCTGGACTGTAATCATCATAGCCAAGTTTACTAACTCGAAGAATCTTGAGATTGAGATCTTCAATATCTCGAATGGCTGGAGCGACCCATGTGCATTCCTTGGGCTTCTTGATTTTTTGGTGACCTATCCATAGACTGGTATTCTCTCGATCCGTCGAACCATTAACCTTGAGACCGATATCATTCAGGTATAATTCTGTCAAGGAATGACTGGTTTCCTTGATCAAAAGCAGCAGCATCAAAGGGTCTAGATCCATCCGTTTTAATTCCAAACACCTCAACTTGCTAAGGACAAGTCTTTTGCTAGGATAGTATGGGAGGCACCGCATGGTCCACTGTTCGTTCGTCATCCTGGATGCGACTCTTTTATTTCTTATACGTTTGGTGGTTTGCGCCACGTTCCATCCAATGATACACAAGGTTTCCAAATCCTTGGCTTTCCCAATTAGCAACCAGAAATTTCGAGCAAAAACAGCTTGTAGTGATGTTCTGCTTTCTTGTCTCTTGCATGATATCATTAAGCTTTTTAGATTTTCAAATACTTTGAAAGCATTTTGGACATCGATGTGCACGTTGCATAGACTATTGATTGTGACATCAGTGATGTGATCTAGAACCAGTGTATCTATCTTTTGGTGCTCCTCTGGACGATTCGCCGCACATGCTAGAGTGTTCGCGAATAATCTTGTAGATGTCATGAAAGAATTGCTGACAACCTGGAATGGTAGGTTAATTTTAAGTCGAGTTATATCTGGACCGTTCTGCATGACTCTGCGAAGTAGACGAGTGTAATCCTCCTCTGTAAATGTGGTCTTGTTGAGGCAATATGATCGAAGGGAGTCAATCAAGTCTGCCATCTCAGGAACCGCAGCGTAGATAGCGTTGAAGGTCTCTTTAAGTTGATCAATTTCATCTGAAAAATATGTTAACTTTTAAATGCCTCGCTGATAGATAAAATGATACAGCGTGCACAGTATGTAGACTGCTTCATGCGCATATAAAGTGATGTGATGCAATTGAGGGACGAGGGGAAGGATATCAACGCATACCTGTATCTCGCGTTATCATCATATCAATGTAGATGGAGGATGATAATGAAGCTACATCTTTGAGAGTTTTCAATTCATCTGGATTGTCATCGATATTTCGGAATCGGATGAATCGCGAGAATTCCAACGAGGTCGTCTTGAAGATTGATGCTTTTAAGCCTTGATCGAACGCTTTACATACCAATCGCAAATCCAAAAGTTGGGATTTATGGTCGCGACATATCTCGATGTTCTTTTGAAGAATCGAGTCAAGAATCTCGGGTGGAAGTTGATCCATGATGGATGTCGTTGGATGTTCGTTGTACCGAATGTGATGGAGTATTGAGATGACGTCGGGTTTATTTTATATGTTGAAAATGATGTTATATTTGAAATCTGGGTAGTTATGAGTACCTAGAAAAGATTGGATGTGAAGTAGTTGTATTTTGGCCAATGAATTTGTTACTGTCGGTGGTAGAGTAACAGTTGTAGATGAAGTTGCGGTATTGAATTGGAGTGGTGATGTGGTGTTCTTGCAATTGTTTCGTGGTGTGATTGGAACTTTGACAATTAAATAATTTTGTGGGGAAGGCGAACAATCACAGCCGTGCATGCAAGGCTGACCAATTAAATGATGAAGCTAGCCACCCACCTAGTAACATTTAAAGGTATTATTAGCTAATAACTGGTTCGTTCGTCCTATTCCTACGAATGAATTCCAACCAACCAGTACTATGGTCACCCTTTTACCTACCTATCACGTGTCTAGAAATTGACATACCTAAGGATATATATATCGAATGTTTTCAAATAATGTCAATGATATGATTAATAAGTAGACCGACGCGGTCTTAAGACTACTAGGTACAATGTGTTTTCTCTACCTTGTATTGATCTCGTGAAATTCGACAGAAGATAGGCACTCAAACTATGAACGGAGAATATTCAACCAATAGTGAGCTTAACCGCCAGCCACATCTGAAAGCCAAGACGGCTTCTTTGATAAGGCTGTATGTATTATCATTTGTGTCTACGTACGTACTCTGCGTGTGAGAATCACGAAGAACGTGTATCCTATACCACTTTGAGCACTACCTATGGAGACCAAACGAGGAAGGCGGACCATTGCTCTGGACGCAATGAGTTCTTGGGAGAAGGATCTCTTCAATTCTGGTATTTCTCTACATCGTCACATTTCAACACTCTCCCGTTATCTTATTGTGTTCTTTTACTTGCTTTGGAAATGGCAGAATATGCATCTTGCGTAATCTCAGGAAAAAGACAACGAATCATTGCATGAAGGAGACCAAGCAGTTATATCCACGTTCCTTTTCCGATAAGCATTGCAGTATTTGACATGCAGACAGGAAGTTAGGAACTGTGCACAATCTGGTGGTGGCTTCAAAGGCATACGACCTAAGACATGCAAGTTTTGGGATACCTAGAGCTTATGTACAGAGTACTCTCGCCACAACATGGTATGCAAGAGCTCCTTTTTGGAAAAGGCTCAGCAGGCTCAGCAGGTTGGAAGAAGTAGATGATGTATTTTGATTCAACAATTCAGGACTCCACAGCCCCTTACTCTTAAATCTTGAGTAAGACTTCGGAAAATTATCTTATTTCATTGATTGGCAATTTCCAAAATACCATTGTCAAAGTCTGCGAACTTCTGTGTGTGTATATGTTCACGGTATCATTATTTCTTCAACATCTTTCGATATCTTGGCATCAAATCTCGGATATGAGACTTCCCCTGCTGAGATCTACGAAACATCGTTGCATCCAACCAGCAGAGGTGTCTCCACCAGGCCACATAGCTACCCACATGCTATCTCAACAAGCGCGGAACATTCGTAATGATCTCTGTCGGTTATGACAACATTCAAGGATTTGAGGATTTGCGAAAATCGAATCTCGGTGAGATTTCTCTTCAATCATAACGTATCAATCCGACCGACCCGAAGAGGTACAACATGTACCCACAAAAGGAACGATTATGTGAAGTAAAGTATCCTTTCGTAAAGGTTTCAAGTTGGAAATTTCTCAGAAACACGAGCGGAAAGCAAAGACGTTTTATGGGCGATAAAGGCATTGCGAAGAGGGGAGTAGACCGATCCATGTTCTCATGCTCAAGGGATGTTTAAGGGGCCAAATGGAAAGCTTGGAAGAGCACAACATATTATCGCCTTGGCTAGGGAGTTCTGTGAAAGCTGTGCGATTGCACAATTATCGCCCACTTTCTCTTT